TATCAGCAGGCAGGCTTCTGAGCAAAAATCTTCTTTCAACAACTGAATAGTTCTCATCAAGACACTTTAAAAGTATAATCAGATTTCTTTTTTTTTTTTAAGGAAATCAGAGAAGTGGTAAACAAAAATTTCAAAATTTCAAAAAAATAATTATTGTTTACTTAAGTTTTGAGATTATTTTAAGAGATATACTGCTGGAAACACATCACAACTGAGTATTGCAAGAAGCTGTAGGAACAATTCAGAACACAAAGTCCTGAGAATAAATTTTGAGTAAACTGGCTGCCAAGGACTTAAGCAGACAGACACAGTAGCACAGTGAGAGACTTGAGGCTATCTTATCAGCTTGACTGGGAATTAAGGTCAGAGGCATTCTGGAATGCTTTTCATATTACTCGTGTAAACAAAGCTTCTGTGAGACACATAGATTCACACTCTCTCCTTCTGGACCTGTCCATGACCCCTTCTTGGCTTGGTCCTGCTGCCTGCAGTCTGGGACCAGCTAGTCAGCAAGGAGAATCAGGCACATATGATCCACAGAGCAGATGATCACTCATGAGTAGGAGACAGATGAATGAATTGTTAAAACATTCCTGACAATAGTATTGTTTTGTAAAACTTCAATGTTCAGTTCTGCAAATTTGAACACCAGTATTTATTCGATTATTTATAAACTAAACCATCCTTGAAATTTCAGGGAATCAAAAACAGGGCCTATTACTTTTTGTTGTTGTTGTTTGTTTGTTTGTTTTGAGACGGAGTCTCGCTCTATCGTCCAGGCTGGAGTGTAGTGGCGCAATCTCGGCTCACAGCAACCTCTGTCTCCCGGGTTCCGGCGATTCTCCTGCCTCAGTCTCCCAAATAGCTGGGATTACATGCATCTGCCACCATGCCTGGCTAATTTTTGTGTTTTTAGTAGAGGCGGGGTTTTGCCATGTTGGCCAGTCTGGTCTCGAACTCCTGACCGCAGGTGATCCGTCCACCTTGACCTCCCAAAGGGCCGGGATTACAGGTGTGAGTCACTGTGCCTGGCCCCTATTACATTTTCTGTCAGTAGTAAATGTGCTAAATTGTGTTTGATTCACTAAATAAATCAGATTTTAAAAATGTAACTTTAGTGATGAGGTGCAGAAGCGCATGCCTGTAATCCTAGCAGTTTTGGAGGCCAGCGTGGGTGAATGTTTGAGCTCATGAGTTTGAGACCAGTCTGAGCAACATGGTGAAATCTTGTCTCTACAAAAAAAAAAAAAAAAAAATTGGCTGGGCATGGTGGCACATGCCTGTAGTCCCAGCTACTCGAGAGGTTGATGTGGGAAAATGGCTTGAGCCAGGGAGGCAGAGGTTGTAGTGAGCCAAGATCATACCACTGCCCTCTAGCCTGGGTGAAAGAGCAAGACCCTGTCTCAAAAAAATAAAAATAAAATTTAAAAAAGTAACTTTAGGCCCATGCCCATAATCTCAGCTTTTTGGGAGGCTGAGGTAGAAGCATGGCTTGAGCCCAGGATTTCTGGGCAGCAGTGAGCTATGATCACACCACTGCATTTAGCCTGGATGACAGAGTGAGACCCTGTTTCTAAAAAAAAAAAAAAAAAAAAAAAGTAACTTTATATTAAACCTCTTCAGAAACCCTTTAAAAGAATACTAGAAAAAAAGTATAAATCAAACTAGTGTTCTGCAGTGCAACCAAACTAGTTAGGAGAATACAGAAACACTTCCCTAAGAATTAATAAACAGCTGCTACCCCCAGAACCCTGAGTCTCCTTCCTCTTAAGCCCTTGATCCTTCTACCTCCTCCTGATGCAGATACTAAAGTGTTAACATGTTGTTGAGGTGTCTATCGGGGATGGGGTATCTGCTGGGACCCTGCTCAAAACTTTGGCAGCATCCTTCAAGCAAGAAGATTGTTTGGGATCCATGACTTACCTGTTGTTAAATATTTTAGAAGTTACTAATTAGTATGAAAGAATTGGCCTTGCAGGAGCTTGTTAAAGTAGCAGTATATAACCACATGCTTAAAATAATGGGCTCTGAAAAACTCGGGCTTGAACCCCAGCTCTGTCTTTTCCTTAACCAGCTATAAAATTCTAAACACTTCATATAAGCTTCAGTTTAATCATTTATCAAATGTGAAAAATAGATGCACTTAATTTCAAATTAGTATCAGTGAAAGCGCTAAGTCCAGTTTCTGACATATTACAATGATTCAATAAAAGGTTGACACATTCAGTAAGTGCTGACCTTTAGCAGCAGTATTAGTCATTGAAACAAGAGGTTCACATAACTAAAGTGGTTTGACTTACCTGCTTTCTTTTATTTTGTGCTTTGCCAATGTTCTCTGAAGTGCAAGGTTCAGCCGTTCAAACTGAAAGTTCAAAAGAAATATTTTAAACATTCCCTTAAATAATAATTTGTTTGAAATTATATATTTACAAATGCATCCTGAAGATTTATTTTAGAGAAGCAAAAACATTATACAATTGCTTGAATGATAAATGTTGTGAATTTTCACTTTGGAAACGGGAACTGATTTTCTATGTGTTTTTCAAACTGGAGAAGAAGCAATGTACTGAGACTAATCTGAGACTGGATATGTGTTATGGACCACAGGTTTAGCATTTGGTGGTGGTCTCACTGACAGCCACGGAATAGTTGAGCTGATCGTGAATCCAAACAGAAGATTTCAGTTTGGCAGTGTTAGGTCTTCTGCAATATAGGATTCCAAGGGTATTACTTCCTCTGAGTCAGGAAATCCCTCTGGATGGGCAACCAATACTTCAGTCTCAGCAAGGACCAAGCCAAGCAAATTTCTGTTCCTTTTACGAACTCCACACTCAGCTGCCCCAGTGACTCTCTGCCCTTAACTACACATTCATATCATCTTGTCTAGCGAACTCTGGAGTTATCTCTGTCTCTTCCTTTTTTGATCTCTTAAATCTGATCTGTCACCAAAGTTAGTTGATCATTTATTTGAAATAAGCTTTGGGTTTACCTTGGCTTATACTGATTTCCTTTCTTTGAACCAATAATCCTCATCAAATACTTACGGTTTTATTTTATTTTATTGATTTCTGAGAACTTCATGAGTTTTCCTATTTTGCAAGACATTTGTATGTAAGCTTTTATATTTAATAAATACATGTTGAGTAGCTATTAATTTCTCTTAACAGCTGATTGTCTCTAATAAATAAGTGGAAAGCAGAGCAATGATAAGCAGTGGTGTCCATTTTTATGCATTCCATGTAAAAATCATATGTGTTTATGTATGTACCTCTGTCTATATATATGTGTATATGTATAGATATATATAAAACCATATATCATATATATAGAACCATTGATTCTTTCTATAGTTTCCCCAGAGGAAAGTGAAACATTTTTTGCTGTTCCAAGCTGAGAAAATCCTTTTTCCTTAAGAACTATTTATATCTCTTGTAGAGTTTCCACCAGTCAAGTCGGGTACTGGAGTAAACCAAAATAGAGCAAGGTTCTGTTTTAATGAAATGAGTTACGAAAAGGGCTTTTAGTTTTAAATATACACTAAAGCTTAGAAAGAAAATTTTAAAATGTATTGAAAGAAAGCACAATTGCTGAAAAAAAATTAGAGAGAATTTAAATTTACAATGTGGAACAATTTTTCAGACTGTTCAGATACAGAGAGAAAGTATAACATCTGCCACAGGATGAAAGAAAAGCTGGTGGAAGACACACCCAGAGGGCACATTCTGAGCAGGGCCTGGTGATCTATGTAAAGGCAAAGAGCAGTTGAGAAACATGTTCAAGAAAGAAACTATGGGTGTATTTCCCAGACATCTTTCTCATCAAGGAAAAAGGAAGGTAACATTAAATTAGTGCTGCTGTATGTGAAGTAAATCAGCCAGGGTGCTTGAAATGTTTAAATATCTGAAGAACCATCTACTTGGTAGAGTAGAAAGTTACTCCAGTAACAGAGTATTAATGTGGATACAAATCCATGAAAGCATGAGTGGCTATGAATTCTTTCTTCCTGCAAAATGTATTCATATGAAAAAAGAAGTCTTTAATAAAATAAGGGTTGCTCCCTTTGTGCTTGAGCTCTCAGTTTTCCTTCACAGCATTTGCTCTCCACCTTTGTAAATTTTTCATAATCTGTCTCTTCCATTACAATAGAAGCTCCAAAAGGGCAGACAGTGTCTGTTTTGCTTACCCCTCTATGTCGAAAACCTACAATAGTACCTATCCATAGGAGATGTTCAATACATATTTATTGAATGAATGAATGAATGATGTCCACCTGCCAGCTACTCAAAGTCTTGAAGGCTTAATCTATAAAATTTTATCTGTGAAGTGATAAAGCCAAATATAGAGGTGTTACTCTCTTAGCTAGTTTACAAACAAATTTAGGTTGTTTGCAATTTAAACTATTTCAATTATATTTGTGTGTGTGTATACATACATACATATATATATATAGCTTCTTGGACCAGGAACTTTTTTTTTGGATATAGAGTTTTGCTCTGTCATCCAGGCTGGAGTGCAGTGGTGATCACAGTTCACTACAGCCAAGAACTCCCGAGCTCCAGTGATTCTCTTGCCTCAGCCTCCCAAGTAGCTGGGACTACAGGTATGAGCCACCGTGCTCGCCCTGACCAGGAACATTTTATGGGCCAGGGAGAAAGAAAATCCAACCAATTCTGCCACTGAAGATTGCTTTCTTCTTCCTCTTCAACGCTACTGGAGACACTCTACTCTTCTTTATGTCTCTGATTAAGCCAAGGGGGATACTCTTTTACCCTTTTAGTCAAAATCCTTATTTGTCTTTCATTTTCTTCCTACTGCCACTAGAAATGTCTTTTTCTGGTCTTTTCTTCCTAACGTATACACTATCATCATAACAGGGGAGGAGAAGTGGTCACCTTCCAATTGCTAGGGTTGGTGGAGCAAATGTGTTTTTGGCTTTCCATTTTGAATCAAAACTTATTTTCCCAAAGAAAAAAGGAATAAAGTCTGTGCAAAGCATTACTAGCATACTTGACTGAAATTATGAGTGAGTAGGCTTTGATGGAAATCTACATTCATCTTATACCATTACTCCTCTGGAAAAGTTTTGTAAATTCAAAGCAAAACCCGTAAGAGACAGAACTCACATGTTTTCCAGGCAGAATATTTATTGGTAGAGGCTGTTGTTGCATCGAGTTTCCTACCTTGGTGCTGTACTTCCTGTGATATATCCTGACCCTGAGATGACGTGAGTCCACAATAAAATTATAAGCAGGATTCAACTATAAGTGAGATCTGTCAAACACAGCCAACCTCAGGGCCTCATGACATAAAAACAACCATTTCAGGACTGCTCCAAACCCCAACAATTCTATATATTAATTTTTGGTTTCAGATTTTAGAACTAAATCCAATATTTCCTTCCAAATTCATTCCTTACAGTTCAATATATGTAAATATTGTGTAGCAGTCTTTTGTAGATCTTTTAGTTGTCTATCACTAAAATACCCTACTATTTGGGAAAGCCTTCATTTTGAATTTGGAGGAACAAGTTCTCTTATTTGTACAATCACCAGAACCTGAAGTATTGTAGATTGTGGACCTTCTGATTTACAGAGGGGACACTTGTCCCCCAGTGCAAATAGTTTGTAGTGCTCTCAAGTTTGTTTTTCTTGACTAAACAATTATCTTTTGGCTTCAGAAAGAATAGATCTGATTAAAGTGTTAAAACAAGTGCTTTTGCCACAAATATACCATATATGAATACTTCAGGAATAACTGCCATTTGATGCAACATTGCTGTCAATGATGTGAATTTTAATAAAATCTCATTGGTGT